GAAAAATGCGCTCTGATATTTATAGAAAAGCGGGGTGTTACACGGTGTCCATAATGTCTTCTATGTATCCATGTTACGCAAGTACGTGTGCGACCCCGATCATGTCATTCCTCATACGGATATTCAGATCCATCCAGATTTATCTTACAAGGAGCGACCGGTAGCTGTGTTGGACCGACAGGTTCGACGGCTCCGGAAGCGTGATGTTCCCCTCGTTCGTATTCAGTGGGATCGCCACGGAGCCACTTGGGAGCAGGAGGCTGACATTCGCGCTCGGTTTCCTGATTTTTAGTTCTGATGTATATGTCTTTTCATGTATATATGTTCAGATTTATATTTCAGAGGATGGAAATATTTTAAGGGGGGTAGATTGTAATAACCCAGTTTCTTATTAATGAAAGTGATGTATTTTCTTTTATTAATCTCGTTCATTTTCAGCGTTTAAGTAAGTAAGTTCGACTTTAATTCGAAAAGTTTATTCGGTTAATTATTAACCGAGTTGAAGTTCATAATTAATTTCCGAACCGTTTATTTTATAAACGTATATTATTAATCGGGATTAATTGTTAAAAATTAAGAATGTTCGAATTCAATTTTGATATTGAATTCATGTCTAAGTCTCGGAAGTACACTCCATACACACTTCATGCACGCACGCACGCAACCGTGCGTAGCGCACGTTGCCGTGCATGCGCATAGCACTAAGCGCATGCTTATGTTCCTTTAAGCAACACGATCAAGTTAAGCAAATCCAAACTTTCTTCCTTAAGATTACCGTGGAGATTAACCAAGGATAAGTGTTCGGTGTGCAAGTGGTGTGGTGAGTCACCTACTTGCTTGCACACATGGCGCAACACGCACGCACGGGCGATGACTAAGCCCGTGCATGCTTGACACATCGGCAATGACTAAGCAAAAATTTGCCCAACACCTCAGCCATGTTTGGGACACTTGTAGTCAAGAGAAGCAACGTCACACTTCACCTCTTTGACCCTAATTTACCCTACGATTTTCACCACAATAAATAACCGAGCGTGGACATTGTCTCCATGCATTTCCATGCACTAAATTCGAACTAACTTCAGCATATATTTGAGGGAGAAATAGTGAAGAAAATATTATAGAAAAATCATACAAAAATAGCTTGTTATTGCCGAAGCCAAGGAGGAGTGGGTACGCACGTATTCGAGCACCGGATACACACGCACGTCACCGAGTACTTCTTGACCGAACTGAAGGGTATACATTCCTCTACCCTCTTTTTATGTAGTTAAGTTCGTATTAGCAAGATCATTTGATATCATATCGTTCGGTCCAAGTTTTGCACGAAAATGGCCTCGGGGGTGCTATATAAGCTCCCTCCGAGTGATTTCAAAATCTAACCGGCAAGTCCCGAACACTTTATGCATAATTAGTCAAATTAAGTCAAAACATGATCAGTCATATGTGGGTTGCCAGAAAAAGTAGCCGGACGGCCGGCGAAATACCGACCGTGATGCCTACCGCACATGGTGTGCGCATAGGCACGCCCGGCAGGTCCAACGAGTACGCAGGCAGCGTCCGCGCGCTCATTAACGCGCACGCGTGCCCAGTACTCGGCAGTCAAGCCCTTGCGATGCCGCATTCATGCGCATAGACGTGCACAATGCACGCCAACACGCACGGCAGCGCACATCCAGTCCACCCGCGTACACCTCGACGTAGCACGCGCCTAGTGACGTGCTCAGCGATGCTGTACGCATGCCAGCAGCTTTCCTCGCATGCTGGCCAAGCAGTCACGCATGCCAGCACGCCCTGCAGCGTGCCAGCGATGCCCAGCGAGCCTCGGCGAT